GAGGTGAAGCCTTCCAGTTCGAGTGGTGGGGAAGGATGTTCTACGCTTTTCCTCCATTCCCACTTATCATGAAGGTCATCGTCAAGATGAGGACAGATGGGACGGACGCCATCCTCATCACCCCATGGTGACTGAGACAGTCATGGTTTGCCCCATTGTTACACCTTGCCGGAGAGGACTATCAAAGCAAAAAGCAGCTTCATTTATATACCGCTTCGTATTGCGCTATGGGATGTCTAAGCAGTTTACAACTGTAAGCTCATTGCCCCCCAACAGCTGGGTACTCATTTTAGCGACCTCAGAAGGATGCAGGCCTGAGTCTAGCCTGAGCCCTGGCTAGTATTGAACTCGCAACCTTGTGGTCTATGAGTGAGTGGCTGCGGTACAGGCATTTAACCACTGTGCCACTGCCCCGAGCCTCGTCCCGACCTCCTTACAATACACAGCGGTTGGATGCAACACCCAGATGTGGACTCCCTACCCTTGGCAGCATGGAGGATTCGTCCTTGACAGCATTACCTACCTTGGTACAGACTGTGATCCTGGCTGCACAGAAGCCCTCCACCAGAAAATCCTACACATTGGAAGGAAAAAATTCCTAGATTTTCTTTCAACGAAGGACCTCTCCCCATCCTGTGTTTTGGTACCGACGGTCTTAGAGTTTTTTATGTTTCTTGTGGATTGTTACCTATCTGCTATTTGTTCACACTACCAACTTGAAGGCAAGCCTTCCTTTTATATGGATCCCTTGGTAAAGAGGTTCCTCAAAGGGCTGAACAATCTCCACCCACCGTCTTCGCTACCTACCTCGGCCTGGAGCCTAGATCTGGTACTATCCTACCTCTCCACCAAACCGTTTGAACCCTTGCCCACCATGAACTTAAGATTGCTGACATGGAAAACAGCATTCTTAGTGGTCATCACCTCTGCTCACAGGGCGAGTGAATTGTGTGCTTTCGGATGGAACAGCCATACCTTCGTTTCCACAAGTACAAGGTGGTCCTCCGTACCGATAGCACCTTTCTACCCAAGGTGGTATCAGCCTTTCACATCAATCAGGACATTGTGCTGCCCACCCTGGCCCCCAACCTGACTACTGATAACAAACGCAGACTGCACACACTAGACATTCGAAGGGCACTAGCCTTTTATCTAGAAAGGACTTCAGGCTCGAGGCACTCTGAGAGACTGTTTGTCTGCTACTCAGAGTCCAAGAGAGGAGTGCCTGTCACACCCCAAAGACTGTTGAAGTGGGTGTCATCAGCCATTCATCTTTGTTATGAACTGGCAGGTAAAATTCCACCAGGCCGGTTGCGTGCACACTCCACCAGGACGGTAACAACATCCTCGGCATTTTTGACTGGGGTGCCTTTAGAGCAGGGGTAGGCAACCTTTCCCCTTTAAGGGCCGAGGGACTTCAACTCCCAGAATCCCAGGAGCTATTGGCCAACATGGGACTATTGGCTGAGGCTTCTGGGAGCTGAAGTCCCTCGGCCCTTAAAGGGGAAAGGTTGCCTACCCCTGCTTTAGAGGATGTTTGCAAGGCTGCTGTCTGGTCTCAGCCAATGACTTTTATTAAGCACTATAGATACAAGGGCCAGGCAGGAAGCCTCTTTTGGGAGGGCAGTGTTGTTATCTGGGTTACACTGATTATTGCACTATTCTTAAGTACTTGATTCAAATGCAATGAATGATACTTGAAGGCAAGTACAGTTTAAAGTTTACAGTTTATTGTTGTTAATAAATATTTCTTGTTTAAACTTATAAGATTGGTGTCAGGACACTCCCTCTTCCACTGACCATAGCTTGTCAGTCTGAATAACCTATTTGTGTGATTCACAGAGACCACAAAGAAGAAGGACAGGTTGCTTACCTGTAACAGTATTTCTTCGAGTGGTCATCTCTGCATTCACACAAATCCCACCCATCCTCCCCTCAGTCGTGTCCTTCTCTAACTGCAAATTCCTTCTGTCGCTGCTTAGCAGTGTATGCTCTGGGACTGGAGAAAGAGCGGGAACGCCAGGGGCTTTATAGAGGAGGGCAGAGCTACTGCCAAAAAGTTGCAATCCAAGATTTGCCTAGTGATACCAGAACTTTCCAAGCTAGTTGCGCAGGTGCAGACATAACCCATTTGTGTGAATTCGCAGATGACCACTTGAAGAAATACTGTTACAGGTAAGCAACCTGTCCTTCTTTGGTTGAGAGTAAGAGGAGTTTGGCTAGTCTGAGGTGAGCCCTACCATGTTCTGGGTCAGGCCAGATTAGCTGCTCTCCTTCCCTCAGCCACAGCTGAAATTCACAGATAAGTATAGAGTTTTCATGTCCTTGCACATGCTTTCAGTGTAGGAAAAATAGCAAATGTGATGTGGCATTTCTGTTTGATAAAATTGGTTTATATCCATGATGTTGAACTGTATCATTAGGAATTAACAAATCTTCAATCTCCTGCCTCCAAATAGATACGCTTTGCTAACTATTTCTAATTTTGTAATGACTATATTATTGACATTCTATTGTGTCTGCTTTGGTCTGTAGATTGGTTTTGGACACTGCTGAAATTCAAAGGCAAAGTCTCTTTTTAAAAATCAATTAGAGAAGTGGTAGTCAGTAATGCTTGACCTTAGCCTTGACCTCCTGATGTCACTTCTTTGTTCTAAAGATGAATGTTTAACAAACTAATTTTCAGAGTTTGATACTCAACTATACATTTATTTGACAACAGATTACAGTTGGAGGCAGGAGAAAACAAAACAAGTGTAGATTTTGCTGTGGTTATGTACTTAAGAGATTTCCCGTTCCTTTTACTTTAATTAAAAAGTAATGCTGGAACATTTTGCAGTAGAACACATTCCTCTTACCAATCAGTTATATTGTTAACAATTTAGCTAATCTTAAAACTGACACTGAAATCAGAACATATATTCAGTTACATGTTTGGGATTTCATGCTATCAGTATAGTAGTTGTGAATTTTGTAATAGGGTGACTGCTCAGGTAGCCACGTCCATGTTGTTAGAAGGAGTTATAAGAATTATGAAATTCAGAGAGGACTACATGGGTTTACATGCAGATTTTAAATGTGTTTTCTTCTAGGGTGGAGGCATGTCCAAGTTATCCAAGTTTGAAATTGAATTACCTGCAGCCCCTAAGTCATCCAAGCTAAGCCTTTCTGAAAGGGATATTGCTATGGCTACTATGTAAGTGTTATTGCAGTGGGGTTTCCAACTTCATATGACTTTGGTCCAGGGACAGATTGCACTTGGGTGTTCTGCTTTCATTTTTATTATTGGGCAGTTGGTTCGTGTTAGACTGAACTACAAGGTTCAAGTATAAGCACAGCACTCTAGGGACATAATGCAGTGTACACAGCCATGTCAATTTCTAGATTAGGAGATAAGGAAACATGCCCTTCTTTGTCCCCAATTTTTTACACATTCATGTTGTTCTACCTGTAAAGGTTGCAGCAGCATTCTACTAAATACAGATGCTTGTCTCTTTATCATCACTTTTATCCTCTTTTAAGCTGTCAGTGAACAAAGGAAAGAAGAAGCCTCAACAGTGACAAGAAGTGAAACAGTTTACTGAAGTCAAAGAGGTTTATGAAAGATTTTCCCTTTGACAGCTACATGAGACTGAAGCCATTTCCTAAAAGGAACTCCTTAGAACAGTCTTTGCTAAAATAGTTTATAAGATAAACCAGAAAGAACTAAATATCTCTGGGGCTGCATCTGCACTGCAGAAATCATCCAGTTTGACCTGGCTTTAACTGCCATAGCTCAATGCTGTGGAATTCTGGGAACTGTAGTTTGTTGTGGCACCAGAGCTCTCTGACAGAGAAGGCTAAATATCTCATAAGACTAAAGTTCCCAGCAGTTCATAGCACTGAGCTATGACAAATAAATAGGATCAAACTGGATTATTTCTGCAGTGCGGATACAGCCTAAATGAAAAAGATTAGACAGTCCTGCCATAGCAGTATCTTCATCTCCCTCCCCCGCATTAACTGTAGACAGTTTTTCAGTTTTAGGACATTAAATTACTTCTGGGCTTCTTACATGTTATTTTAACCTAAAAGAATATGTTACTACCTCATGCAACTCTTTTTATCAAGGAAGAATTTTCTTCCAACTTGAAATATGCTAAGCCTTAAAGTATTTAATTTAATGTATTCTTTTGAAGGTTTTCATTTCCTTAGTTCTCTGGATTGGTACCTCTCCCTTGTTGTTCATTTCAGTGCAAGAGTTAAGCAGCTTTTAATATTCTCATGTTGAATGTTAAAAGTGATTCACTTTTATCATATTATGCCTAAGCTCTGAAGACTGGAGAAAAAAACCTCCTTTCTCCAGTTTATCCTTCAGTTTTAAAAATTTAGTTCCATATTTGCCATATGCATACATGAAACATGTGATGTACAGGAGAGCAGCACAAAAAGGGAGAGATAGCTGAAAGAAAATAAAAATGAATATTAAAAAATGAACATTCTTCATTAACAATAAACAGTCCCCAAGTGAAGTAGTGAAATCAGTTGTTGTAGTCAAGACATGTTATCTGTAAATAAATTTAAAATATATATTTTTTCCTTCTCAGATATGGACAGCTTTATGTTCTTTACTTAAGACACCACTCAAGGTCATCAAACAGTACAGGAGCTGAAGTGGTTCTTTATCATTTGCCAAGGTAAGTTAATCTCTTTTAAATAATTTTTAACTTTAAGAGCAAGCATGCTAAAAATGTGACATGTTTTGCTGATAAACATATCCTCTCTCTTTCTCTGAACAATAACACCATAGGGAAGGCTCCTGTAAGAAACTTCATATACTGAAGTTGTACAGAACTGGCAAATTTGCACTGAATGTTGTGGATAACTTGGTAGTAGTTCATCATCAGGATACTGAGGTACTTCATTTTTACTGCACTTTTGTACTTTTTTTGGATAAAGCAATGCATTTATCTTTATTGACTTGGGTTAGATCATTTAGCATATATATGATTGAAATGAAAGCCAATGTAGTGTAGTGGTCTGAATGTTGGACTATGAATCTGGAGACCAGGATTCGAAACCCTACTCAGCCATAATTCTGCTCATTAATAACTATTGTTCTTAGTGTAGTTAGAGACTTGAAGAAACAGGACAGCATTTTAGTGAAAATTAACTATAGCTTTAGTCTGGATCCTAAAATACACAAACTACTCCCATCTGGTTTAGAATCAACTCTGAGTATCTCTCAGCAAAAATGAAAGTTTAAAAATCCTTTGTCTATCCCCTCCTTTTCCCTTGTCCCTTTGTCCATATCAAAAAAGCTTTGAAGTTAGCTTCTTCCAGACCCACCTCCTTACAACCTCTGGGAAAGGAAGACAGCCCTCATCCACACCCACAAATCTGCCCCAGATCTCCTGACAATTATTTACAATCTCCATCCGCATTTCACTACATCCATCACCCATTTGTGGTCAGACTCGTATGAGCATCATAGAATCATGACACTCAGAGTCCCATCTCATAGCCTCATGCATCATATCATCCCAGTTCCCCCCACCCCACCCCATATAAACACTTGCTGGTAGATTTCTATGGCTACATAGGAACATGACAGATTTACAGTATTTTGTAGCTCACAAAGCAGCTGACAGTGAAAGAGGAGATGTATAGTACATATAAAAAACTGTCATGTTACTCTTAGAGATATTAAAACCTACTTTAAAAACCCAGGAAGAAACCCCTTTTCCTGATCTGTGAGAGAAATAGGGCTAGCTACACCATTTTACAGCTTCATATATAAAATCTTGGATCCAGATTTAGAGTAGAAAAAAATTGAATTAAATGGTACTTAGTGTAATCTCACTGAAACTAACTAAAGTATGATTTAACCTGTCTAAATAAGTTTTGAACAGTGTTATAAAGAAAATAATTTTTCCCAATTTTAGACTTCTATTCTGTTTGATATTAAACTAAAAGGAGAATTTGATGGCACAGTTACCCTTCATCAGCTTGTACTTCCAGCAAGATCCATACAACCCTATCAGATACCTGTGCCAGGTATGTGGGGCTTTTTACTAGCTTGAAAATAAAATTCATATGTGGCTCTGGTTTTGAACCTAGGCAAATAGCTTTTTTATCAGTTGAATGTAAAATAGGAAGAAATTGAAGATTTTAATTTAGCTACACCTCATTCTCTTGAACTTCTACTTTTTAAAATAAATACATAACATACAGAACAAGATTGCCTAACATTTTTTAATGTGTATCATAAATTTTCCAACTATTTGCAAAAAAAAGCACAATGGTACTGTTGGATGAAAAACACCTAAGTAGTTCCTTTTCTATGCTGATGTCAACCAGACAACAGGATCATTTTTATTTATTTATTTTTTGACATAAATGTTTATGTTCCTTGGCCTAGATTGACCTAAATCTGATATTTACTGTGTCTTATTCCTTGTGGTTACTTTGATATTTTTATTGCAAATTCCAAATGTCATTCCCCTATATTGGAATACTCTCTAGCTAACTTGGGACGTAATGGTGACAGTTCCATATTGATCAGGGAGTTTGAAGGCATCTAGAAATTTTGTTTGTTCCATTTATAACTTGCTTTCCTTCAGTGAACTGAAGAAAGCATAAATGGTTTTCCTTCTCTTCATTTTATCCTTATAGCAACCCTGTGAAAGAGATCAGGTTAAGAGTGACTTGCTCAGAGTCACACAATGGGCACTTGAATCTGGATCTCTTTGGTCCAGTAAATCCTTTGAGAGTGAACATATTCTCCCTTTACAGAATTTACAGAATGCCAAGAACCTTCTGGTCATTTACACCCATCCACTAAGCCAGGGGTAGGCAACCTTTCCCCTTTAAGGGCCGAGGGACTTCAGCTTCCAGAAGCCTCAGCCATGTTGGCCAATAGTCCCATGTTGGCCAATAGCTCCTTGGATTCTGGGAGTTGAAGTCCCTCAGCCCTTAAAGGGGAAAGGTTGCCTACTCCTGCACTAAGCGAAGCTGAAATTTGGAAGTTAAACTATTTGACAGGTTCTTCATGATCCTGTAGTAATAGTAGTAATTGTTGTTTTTTGTTTTGTTTTGTTTTGTTTTTTGCTCTTACCCAAGACCTGTCCTTGCAGGCTGATTTCTGATGTTTGAATCACATTATGGTAAAAAGGGTGGGAATTATATTGGTTCTTACCTGTGATTTCAGATATACAAAACTGAAAAGCAACTGAATCATCAGTAAGCGTAATCCCTAAAATATATTATATGTTTAAAAAGAATAAAATCTTAATCTACTAAGATTCATTTTCTGTTTCTCATTAGTTAGGGTTGGTTTGGTTCTGGTCTTCTGATTTTTATTATTAAAATACCTTCTGCACCTAATCTTCTTTCCTTTAGTGGTGTATGACATAGAACATATTATTATTAGATCAGTCTCTTCTGGCTCATGAATAAATACATTGTCTTTCTCCACTTGCAGGTCCAGTAACCAATCAGTTTCCTGTTCCGTGTAAGCTTTGTATCCTTAAACAGTTTGTGCTTTGTTCTTGAAAAAAAACCACCATTGTAGCTCTCATCTCTGTTTCAAATGTGACATTTTATATTTAGAAGGAGCAGAATTAGATAATGTAGCATTAGAAATCTGCAGTACAGCTATGCAGCAAGTACAATTTGGCATGCAACACAATTCTTTTGTGTGTATTTGTGCTTAGTGGGATTTCCCTGAAGGCAAGCATTTCATAGCCTTAGTTTACAGCCTTAGTTCCTCTGTAATGCCTGCACAGATTTCCAAAGGAAAGAGATATAAAACACCTTCTGAATTAAGATAATGTATTCTGATGCATTCTGTGAAGACAGTTTTTGGCACTTTTAGCTACCTGAGGGAGTATCATTTTTCAACATGTGTCAGGGCTTTTTAAATATGTGCAACCAGACTCAAAAAGTGCAGTTCTAAAAGAACATTTGGACATATAAAAACCTCAAGTCAAGCAGAAAATGTATTTTGTTAGCTGGTGTAAAAAGTAAACTATATTGTTCTGGTTTCTCCATTTCTTCCCCATGTATCAAAGGAAATCCATTTAGCTTTCTCTGCTTTCCTCTGAAGGGGGCTACCAGTCTTTCAAAGAGAAGAGAAACCACTGTAATATATGAGTGAAAAACTTATGCTCCTCCAGATGTTGATGCCTTACAATTTGCAACAGTTCATTACCAATAGTGAGGGATGATGGTAGTTGTAATCCATTAATGTCTGTCAGGTCATATATTGCTAACCCTTCTCTGCATAGAAACATGTCCTCCATTTCCATACAGATAAGAAAGTCAAAAGTTAAACATAATTTAGATTGTCCCAGCCTTTCCGCACATACTACTAAGCTACTTTCCACACATACAATTTACTCAGACAATCTTGGTACACAAACAAAAGTTGCCATGGTCGTCCTACTCTCATAAAAGTCTATTCTTTGCTTCTGAAGACAAGAGAAGGACTCTACCTTCGGGAAGGAAAATGTTAGCTGTCTGCCCTTTTGCCTAACTTCAGTAGCCCAGTTGCCAGAAGTAGAAAGATCTCGAAGCCAGATCATCAATCCACAAAATTCTTCACATACCTGATATACTAATATTCCTTCCTTCTTGTTTATGGAATATACATTCTGTTCTGAGAGGAGTTTGAACTAAGGCCTGTTGAACTATTTGTCCGTTTTCCATCCATCCACCCACCTGTTCTTAATTTTAATATTCTGAAGTCCAAATAAAGTTTTCTTGGAATTCACGGTGCTTATTCTATGAAACCTGACTGTGGGGATGAACAGATGAGATAGGAAAGCATGGGCCAAGCCTGGATGAGTCCCTGGGCTGGTGTGGAGATAGGTCGGTGGTTATATCTGTGCCACAGATCTGTACCTGTACCACAGATCTGGTACCACTGCAGGCACTTACCTCCATCGGTGCTGCACGTGAGTAGACCCATCCATAGCCTCCTCCATATCACATGCAGCAACAGGGCCTACTCATGTGCAGCAACAATGACAGAGGAAAGAGGTGCATGGGGCCTTCAGGACAGCCAGGGTTTGCCATAGAGTTTCCAAGAAACTTATTAAAACCCTTTGCCTCAGGATTGGGTTGGATCCACTGGATCTGCATCCAGTCTGGTAGGATTGGAGCTGATCTTGCCTCGGTGGGATTGGCCTGTGTTGTCAAAACAGGATAACATGAGGCGGGGGCGGGGGGGGGGGAACCCGGGCCTTTGGGGCTATGAGGGCAACCCCTATGATGTGTTTTTACATCATTGTTATTGTATTTCCAATTCTGAGGGTTTTCTTTCACTTCTAAATGGCATGGCATGTGATTAAGTAATAAGGCTTATGTGCACATAACAGGAATGCATAGAGCAGTACTTCTCAAATAGTGGGGCGCGCCCCCAAGGGGGGGTGCGAGGCTCTGTAAAGGGGAGGTTTTTTTTAATATTGTGCTCCTTTAAATCTTTTCAGCTACAGTTAATAAAGCTATTCTTTGTTGTAAATTGATCCACATTTCTTTTTTTTTATTCTCATATACGTTAATAAGGATACAGTGTTATGCAGAGGTGTACTTATAACAATTTTATAGACAAATGATACTATTTACAGTCGCGCGGGGGGCGTGAAATGTTTTCTTCTTCCTAGGGGGGGCATGACAGAAATAATTGAGAAGCACTGCCATAGAGTGATTGTGAACTAGTTTCACAACCACTATATAGTTCCATGTTGTGTTTAAAGAAGCCCCTGGCACTTGTACTTTGGTTTCAAACTGTAGACTTTTGCAGAAGTTTTTTTTAACATTTAGATTCCTCATCCTGGATTGTCTTTCAGCCTGATATTATCATCAGCGCAAGTGAAGGTGAGTCTGAAACTGACATAGCTTCCACCCGCTGCTAGTTTCTATAAGTGCTTGTTTATAGTATTTTAATTTATAGAATGCTTGTTAAGTTCTAATATTAGGTTTTGGTGGATGGTGATATAGAAAATTTGACTCTTTGAAAAACTCGCTATAATTTGATAACTATAATTATATATTATATCTGAGGTAATTCTTTCTGTTGATCGCAGGTTAT